TTATTTCTGTCCCACATTGTTGTCGGAAGCATGAACCGTTTGTAAGTTTTTCGAATAATCAAAAAATTCGTAAAAACAATTTCAAAAATTTTGGCCAAAATGTAATATTATCTCTCGTCATTTTTCATTTCAATTCTTACTTTGTGCAGCGCTTCATGAATCAAATGGGTTCGTTATCTATTCTCTGTAAAGTTTTCGTTTGCATATTTACCATTGACAATAAAAAAAAATCTTCCGCTACTTCTAACTTCAGCAAAAAAAAATACCAAATTTAATTCCTGGTTCCACCAACAAAAATCCATTCACTGGAAACTGAGAGATATTCATAAAACAATATATACCATCAAAACACTACCCTCAAACTGGGAAATATTAATTTTGTGGTAAGCAAAAATTTTTTATCAGATTGGTTCTCGACACGACTTTTTAAAAAGAAAACGATTTTTAATTCATTGATCTTTCAAAATAAATGCAGTCTGACCTAAACCTTCACAGAATCAAACTGATAAATTGCTAGCACCAGCAAACAAACGCTAGAGCAAAAAAGGATAACCGGTTGACGTGCAAGTAGCACAGAATGTTCCGACCATATTCTTAAAAAATACATACGTTTTTTCTTATTTTTTCAAATTAGTGTCGTTTTCTGTGCATGATGTGATGCAAGGATCTAAAGAAAGCCTAGAGTTTAAGCATATTCGACCATAACAGTAAAACAGGCAAATTGGCCATTTAAATTGTCATAAAATGACAAGAATAATCCAAAAAAGACAACATTTTTTTGTCATTTATTTGTAAATATTTTCTATGAATTACTGAAATTTTTATTCCCAAGACCTCGCTGAAAAAAAAATTTAAAACAATTTCACTGGAGTAAACTAAAATTTAATGGACTATCGTTCTATAAAAAGTCTGCTCGCTTGCTTTACTCGCTCGAAATTGAAGTTTTTCTCGACAATGGGACAATTTTGAAATTTTCGTTCGAATCAGGGCTGCACGAGCGTTAATATGACATATCACTCAAAGTATTCTGATAATTTTTTGTAGTAGCTTATCTTGATTCACAAATGAAATTAGCCTTCTCACTTACTTTTCTTGCTCGAAAATAGACAAAAAATCAAAAACTTTTAACCTGTTTTTTCTCAATACTGGAACAATTTTCTGAAAATTTTTTAAGTTGTTCGAAACACGACTGAAGGGTGGGTGAATTGATATATCACTCGAGCAATTCCGAAAATTAATTGCCGTGCCTCCTCATTTAGCGAGGAAAACAAAGAAATTGAAATACACCCGAATACACGAGGAAAACAAAACGAAAAACTAAAGCACACCCGAATACAAAATTCCTCCCCATTTTCAAATGATTTCAAATTTTAAACGACAAAAGGACACTGAGCATTAACATTAGGCCAATTTTGTGAAAAAGGCTGCTTTTGGAACCATGAAGTATTTAACCTTTTTTCTGATAAGAAACACAATTTTTAAAACTGGTTAAATAAGTATGCTTTTCATTCCACTGCAAAATATTAAAAATTTAGTAAAATTTTGACAGAAAAACACATTCACGTTTTATTTGCTAATTTTTCAATTTTTGTTTCATGGGAGAGCATTACTTGCCTTGCATTTGAAGCAAAATTTGAAAAAATGAAACCTCTATTACAAAAATACACAGAAGCACAATAGAGAAAAAGCAGAGCTTCGCACTAATTGCCATTCAACACAAACATAAAAAAACAAAAGTAGAAAAATGAAAAAATGTTGAAAACAAAGTAGGTCTACCAAAACTTAAAGTTTCATAAGTCTCGATAGAAGCTCAATTCAGGAAAAACATGCCAAACGATTGAAAAATAAATTAGCAAATAAACAAAACTTACAAAAAGTAAACAAAGCCGAAACTCTTTGTGTGTGCAGAGACAAGTTAAGCAAAAAACCTGAACTTTTTTGGTTTTAAAATCCTTTTAAGTTTTTCATAAAAATCTTTTAAACCATGAGCAATACAATGACTACAATGGGAGTTGTTTAAAGCACAAGCAAAATCAGTGAAGTGGCAAATAAGCCGACAAAATTTGAGCGGACAAACGAAAGTCCGGCAATTGAAATTTAACCGAAAAAAATATGCAAGTGCATAAATATTGAAAAATAAAAAAAGTCCGTCCAGGACAAAATCCCCAAGTTAAGATTCAATGATAAAACAATTTGAAATTGTGTTATTAAAGTTGTTAACCGGAAATAGAAAACTAGTTCCCAATTGCAAGACACTTAATTATTCAATTAAAAGCAAGATGATCATTTTTTCAAACGATAAACCTGTCTCTGTTATTTCAATAGTCTCAAACAAGTCAAAGCCGGCTCGAGAAATTTACACCGAGGCAAAAGGAGGCTTCGCGCCGCTTGCGATACAAAACAAAAAAGAATTCAGCTAGCCAAAAAAAGCCACTGAAACAAAAAAAATTGAAAACCAACCCAATAACTTTATACATTTGCCGCGTTTGAAATTTGATGCGTTAGAAGTTCCATTTGCAGAAAACATGTCGAGAAACACAATTGTCGGTATCAAATGAGTATTGAAACGAAATATAACAAGAGATAACTAAGCAGACGAAGCTTAGGTACACTCCCGCTATGCCGCAAAGAATGTTCAGAAAAATTTTGAGGCAAAAAGCTAAAACGGTTTTAAACGCTGAGCCTTCAAAAAACTGGTATATTGGAGGAAATAAGCCAAAAAATAGCAAGCAATAATCTGAATAAGCAGAAAATTCCAGCGCGCAAAAATACCAGAGCGCCGTAACCTTAGTTTCCCAAGCTTAGGCCTTATCTCTAGTCTTAATGGGTAGACGCCGTCCTTGGATTGAAACGTATTATAAAAAACTAATAAAAGCCTTTTGTGGAGAAAAATTTAAAACCCAACCCCATCAATAAACATCGTGTGCCAAGTTTGCAACCCTGTCAGTTAAAATTAGATGAGCCCTTACACTATGAAAGCCACTTCAGAAAATTGTTAGTCTTAAATGGTAAAACATAAAACCTCAAAACTTAATTTCACTTTTCCAATTTAAGATAGCTGAAAAAAAACGAACCGGAAAACTTACCCAGAAATAGTTGCACAAGAAAAGAAGACCAACTTATTCAAAATGCTTAAATTTTAGGAATCAACTGATCTCCCATAAACTTAAAAACAGACCAACTCATTTTCAATTGGTGGTGCTTCTGCGCTTCAAAGAGATTGTTGAACGTTAAAAAGAGCTTCCTAAGAAAGTTATTTAAAACAACGATATTTCATGCAACCACTAAAAAAATTGGGCCCATCCATCAAGGTTTTCTATTTTACTAAATAAACAATTTATAAAGTCAACTTTTAGGTTGTTTCACCAATATGGACATACCTCCTGAACTTTCAAGTTTCATCCGATATGTGAATTTTTAACTCAAAAAATGACCCTAATTTTTAATACAAATGATTATCTCGAAAACTAAAATTAAGAGTTGGCAACAGAAGCCAAGTATGAAACCCTATGGTGAGGGATTTAAGGAATGAAAGAAACTAAGTAACAGCGGTTTCCTTTACTAAGAGTATCTCACTAATCGGATAGGACAGACGAAGTGAGTAATACGATAAATTGAATCATGCGAATTTTCAATAGATTTGAAGTTAGCATAGGTCGAACGACAAAAAAGTTCGAAGTCAGAACTCGCTTTGAGCGCGACCTGTCAGTTTGGTCTTGACACCTAGATAGTATTTATCAATGTTACATAAATCGATTAACTGCATTAACGAAAAGCCGCAGGCATCCACATGTATTAAGTTGCCTTATCCGGCTACTGAAGTACGCCAAACCCCTAGTAGTACCTGGCAGCATAACAACATGGGTTTAAAATGTTAGTTTTTCAAAGTTTTTTTTTAATTTCATAAAACGGGCAGATATCAGCTGTTGAAACGTTATGTGCAGTCAATTTTGATGGAAGACAGATTTGGAATCCCTGAGTGCACCTAGACAGTATCCCACGATAGATAGAATTCAGGTTGAGTTTTCTGAGAACATTTTTTTAATCATAAGAAATCTCGTATCAAGAACATTGCATTGCTTGGAACAGTTTTAAATGGATCCCACGTCCACAGTTCTTGTTATTAATGTGGCATCATCCCAATATAGGTTCAAGCAGTTCGAACTTTTTTTTTTTATCTAAGAATCGATAAATAATCTTTTTGATTTAAGTTTTTTGGAACTTCAAAAAAACACACAATACCGCGGAAATTAAATGTTTGCCAGCCATATTCGTAGGCCAGATTTGCAACTCCATAGTATAAACTGACAGCACACTACCATAGGGTTGACTGTTCCAAGTTCTATCATTTTTATCAAATGTATTTTTTTAATATCATAAAGAAACGTCGTATCTTGGAAACCACAAGGATTTGACCAATCACATACGGAGGCAACATTTGCATCCCCTGAGCTCGCCCTGAACACAGGTTCTTTCATATCTAGAAGTTTTTATAACGCTGAAAAAATCCTACGAAACATCGTAATTAGAAATATTAAAACGCTTTGAGCCGTCAAATATCGTCTGAGATTAACATGGCATCAAGCCATTATTGAGTCAAGATAATCAAATTTCGAAATATATACTTCTTGGTCATGCTTCAATAGATGTGTGGTTAAAATCGTAGATGACCTTGGAACAAAAAACCCTTGACAAAACATTAAGCTTTAAAACGTGTGACAAGAAACGCGAATTAATTAATAGATAGATTTCTTAAACTGCTGAATTTTTTCGAACGAAATGATCTCAATTAATCTTATAAATCTCGATAAAAATTTTTTTCTGGAACTTTGCTATTAAAGTAACCAGTTTAAAGAGCTTCAAATACGAACCTTTTGACGCTTTTAAACCACAGACAAACTTGATTGCAAAATGTGCATTCTAAAATCTATACTTTTGGCGCCTTAATTAAAAATGATCGCGACCTGCAATACAAAACCTCAAATAAGTGAAAACTCTTAACCATTAATAACACTTATTTAAATAAGAAATCAAAAATACAGCAAACTTCAATTACTGATTAAACTTAATTCCTAGCTTTGAAATCAAAAACTCAATTAATTCATTGCAAACCGAAGTTTACCGTTTCTTTCCTCCTCTGCGCTTCGACTGAGCTGTTTTCGGTCTAGCACCTGAAGTCACCTTCGGCGAATCAGGCGCACTTGATGCGGCTTGAGCTGCCTGGGCTTTCGGACCCGAGTGGTCGTACACAGAACCTCCAGATGTTCCTCCCTGAGTCCCTTTGCCAACATCATGCTTGTCTTTCTTCTTCCTCGATTTCTTAAACGCACTTCTTTCCCATTTTGGCAGCCAGCGTTCGGGATCCGGCTGGACGTTAGGGTCGAAGGTTTTAGGAAGTCTGGGTTTCTTCTTTCTTTTCTTTTTCTTAGCTAGTTCATTGTCCGCTCCTTGATTAGTAGCAGCTTTACCTGCTTTCTTCAGGGCGTACTTATTTGACAGGAACATATCAGAGGTCTTCGACAACTCTTCAACATCGCATTCGCCAACTAGTTGCTCGATTGAGACCAGATTTTCGCTGTATTTCTTGACCAGCTTTGTGTCGACTTTAGAACTGCAAGTAATTAGTTGGGCTAAAATGTCTGATTGAGGACCCAATATCTGGAGCAATTGTTCCAGGTACTCAATTGCTCTGGTATACATTTCTCTCTCAATCAGTTCTTCCGCGATACTTCTCAAAATAAGAGCCTTTTGCTCTTTTGCCTGGTTTTGGTTAGATGCCAAAAACTGCTTAATTATTTCTTCAGCTGATGACACTTCTTCGAAAGAAAGATACAAAGAAACTAATGCAGAAACGATCGCCAAGTCGTTTTTATTTTTGCAAGTTTTTAAAGAATTCGCAGTCTCGGTCATGTTTCCCTGTTGCATGTAAACTTGGGCAACTAGCAGATCCAGATTTGGAAAATTGGCGAGATAAGAAACTGCGTCCTTATATTTCTTGTCTCGAACCATAACCGCAGTTGTAAGCAGTGGTAGCAGATTCGAATCATTGGGATAATTATTTGTGAAATCTTGCAAACCTTTTCTGCCAGCATCGACTTGATTATTGTTTAGATAAAACAGACTGATATTGTAATCAATCAATTTCTTTTGCACAGATGACAATTTCTGTCGATTTGCAGGGGCTGTTATAGTTTTTACACGTCTCTTGTTTTCAAACACCGTCGCAGATTTATTCAGAGTTATTAAATTGCTGGCAATTGTCACTGAAGTCCCTGGATCGTCACTTGCGGCTTTGCCAGTCTGGTTGAAAACTTCAAGAGCTTCGTCAGTGTTTCCTTTCATTTGCAGAACATAACCCAGCTGACTGCGAATGATCGCTAATTCTTGATTCAGTTCTTCTTCAGTCATGTCTTCTTCGTTTGTTGCCGTGAACTCTTTTACGCTGTTTTGAAGCAACTTTTCCGCTTTTTCGAAGTCACCACATGCCGCATATCCACATGCTTCGTTATATAAGAGCTCGTACGCAACACCGCTGTCCTGATTAAACATAGCTTTAGCCACCTGCGGAAATTTTCCATCCGCAATACTTTGTTCCCTAGCGGCGAGCGCAGCGGCGCAATTGCTCAATCTTTCTTCGTCATGATCATCGTGAACATTTTTGATCAAGTCTTCATAAACCTCTATGCAATCATCAAATTGTTCGAGGCGATAAAATATTTGAGCTAGTAACTCCTTTTCTCGGGTGTCTAAGTCCGTAGCCTTCGTCAATACTTCTCGACTTTCGATTGTCTTATTCATCCTGTACAAACAGTACGCTTTCTCAAAGCGCAGATTGAGCTTCTTTTTATCTATTACATCCAGGCAATCATCAAACCGGTCCAATTGAAGACAGCAGATTGCTATGCATTCTTGTGCTATTTTATCATCTCTGCATTGCCTCCCAATCTTCCGAGCATTAGACAGTGCTTTTTCAAAATCACCGGCCTGATAAAATTTCAAAACATTTCCATAAACGATCTCTGGATTTATCTCTTCTTGTTTTCCCATATCAAACCTGTAACCGACAAGATGAAATACACTAGTGGATGAAATTAAGCGCAAGTTCATGATTTTGGACAACACTCTTTGGAAATTTAAGCTAAATTTTTGCACAGACGAGGAGCAAGTGATCAGAGCTGACCTCTACGAAATTAGCACAATTTAGTTTCATAACTCACTAGTTTTTTCGGGTCTGAAAAAGCCAGCTTTCACTATCGGCATAAGTTTAAGCATCGGAGTGAACTCTTTCTCGAATTTCTAACTAAATTTTGGTAATTTTGTAGAGGGCAGCTCTAATCATTTGCTCCTGGCCATGTGAAATTTTTGCTTACATGCTCAAAGAATATTTTTCCACAATCAACCTTCAAAACTGGCAGTTCAGAGAGATAAAACAGAATTTGCTCAAAATTTTGTGAACTAGTGTAACTATTATTATAGTGTAACTATTATTATTATAGAACTAGAATAAACTTATTAAATAGTTTCATATTGAAATGGATGATGAAACAAAACCAACGGGTGGAACTTCTCGGAGAAGGCTGGACTCAATCGAAAACTACTATCCTACCATCGAAGAAATCATGGCCTCATCTGACGACGAAATAAACAAGTATCTACACAAAACGAAGAAAGATTCAATTATTTGTATCTTCAAAGAATTGCTATCGCAACATCGACTGACCCTGTCTAAGAATGAAGAAATCGCCGACCTCAAGAATACAATTTTGGCAGTTGGCGATTCGCTTCAAAACCAGACTCCTACAAAATCTCAAGCTAAGTCTTTTGCTTCGATAGTAAAACAAGTTCAATCTAGTTCCACTAACTTTGAAAATAAAATTCGTATATCTGGTGTTCCTGAATTAACTTCAGCTACTCCAGAAAAACCGAAAAGAATTGACATTTTTGAACATGACGAGAGTAATCTAAACACTGTTTTGAATCATTTGGGTATACCTAATGACCATGTTTCCTCAACAGCGAGGCTAGGAAAGTTCAACCCAACTTCCACCAGGCCCAGAACTATGCTTGTCAGGTTTAGAGACAAGTTTACAGCTGAAAAAACGCTTGCACGAGCTTCAATGTTGAAAACATTCACTGGAACGTACAAAAACGAAAAATATTTTGCATACATCAGTAAATCTCTTTCGAAGGAAGAGCAGGAAAAGGAGAATGCAATCCTTCGTAAAAGACGCGATCTAATCAATGAAGGTGTTAAACCAGAAAATATAAAAATTAGGAACCTAGAGCTAATAGTCAACGGAGTAAAAACCGACTACCTGAAGACAAGCGCTTCAAAAGTCTGACTATCTGCCTCCAGAACCGAACCAATAGAACTAAGTTTGTTACTCTACAACATCAGAAGCTTGTTACAGTTGTCTCGACGGAAAACTTTTGCAAACTACATATCCATTCACTCCTATAGTATTATTTGCATTTGTGAAACATGGCTCACGTCGGACTTCAATGACACCGAACTCTTTTTGCCACAATACAACATTTTTCGCTCAGACCGGCCTCAGAAAGACTCAGGACTGTCATCTCATGGAGGCACCTTGGTGTGCATCAAAAAGTCTATCATATCTTATTCCATCCCTCTTCCCGATATTTTCCTTGGTTCATGTTGTGCTGTCATGTGTGTTTTCAAGTCAACCAAACTATTGGTTGTCTGTTGCTATTTTCCCCCACCTTCCAGTTCTTTCAGAATTAGTTCAGAATCAATCATATCCCTTTTAAACATCATTGAGACTACCGAATGTGACCATAAGATTGTTACCGGTGATATGAATTACTCAGCAATTGACTGGGAAATTTTACAATCAAATATCCCTTCTGACCATGAGTTTATTGAAACGATCAGTGAAATGAAATTACAACAGCAAGTTCAATTCAAAACTACTTCCAGTAACATTTTGGATATTATTTTTACCTCACCAAAAATTGAAACCACAGATATCCAATTGGTTAACAACGGCATTTTGAATATCTCGGATCACTTTCCAATACTCTTTGCATTCAATATGTCCGCAGCAGGAAATTTCATGCGTCCAAATATGAAAACTAGTTCCACTTTCAGTTTCTGCAATGGAAATTTTTCAATTCTGAACGAAAACATTCTAAAAAATGCCTTTCAGGGCATTTGTTGGTCCAATGTGACTGTTTTACTTGAACAATGGTATAAATGGGTGAATGAACACCTCGGTCAAGTCTTTCCTGTTAGAACAAAACACAGGATGTCACTCCCACCGTGGATAACTCCGGAAACATCAAACATGATTAAGAGATTGAACACCGCGAAGAAAAAGTTCCCTAGTGAAAGCCCAAAATTGAAATTTATGTCCGAAAATTGCGACAAAGCAGTTGAAGATGACAAGTCACAGTATGAAACATTGTTATCCAATGGCAGATCTACATCAGCACTTTTCAAGTATTTTCGCTCATTTACTAAAGGAACCCTACCATCCGTGATGAAATATAACGACCATGAAGCAACAAATGACCAAGAAAAAGCAAATCTCTTTGCTGATTTCTTTCAAGATATGTACATTAGTTCCAGTGATATTCCAGTACTCAATGACAATGAACCAAGTATCTACCCTATCATAACCGATTTTGATCTATCAGATTCCAGAATCTCATCAGTCTGCGAAAAGTTAGACGTTACCAAATCTAGAGGAATTGATTCACTGCCTCCGATTTTATTCAGAAATTGCCCATCAATAAGACACTCTCTTTATCAGATTTTCTACAAAATGAAACAAACAGCAAAGTTTCCTGACCAGTGGAAAAGGTCTCATTTATCCCCTATTCACAAAAAAGGGAACAAGAGTTTGGTTAAAAATTATAGACCAGTGTCATTATTATCAGTTCCCTCAAAAATTTTTGAACGATGCCTTTTTGACTCACTATACGTGCACTATGAACCCTTTTTGCATCAGTCTCAGTATGGGTTCCGCAGAAAACGTTCATGTATTTTACAGCTAATCGAGTATATGGATATAATATATGAAGCCTTCGATAATGGCAAACAACTTGATGTTATATACACTGATTTCGAAAAGGCTTTTGACCGAGTAGACCATGGGTTGCTCATGAGAAAGCTTCACTTGACGGGAGTTCGTGGCAAACTATTGAGTTTAATATCATCTTACCTTTCATCAAGATATCAAATAGTGAAGGTTGGAGATAATGTTTCCTATGAATTTCCAGTTACGAGTGGTGTCCCGCAAGGCTCAATTCTAGGGCCTTTGTTGTTCTTAGTATTTATCAACGACCTTCCTTCATTGAGTAATTTTTCGACACCCTTACTAGCCGCTGATGACGCAAAGTTTATTTACACGCTTAGTGATACAGCTTCCTTATTTCAAAACGAGTTAGATACAATCTTTGAATGGTCGATCATCAACAACATGCCTTTCAATGTCACGAAATGCAACCACTTAACCTTTAATGCCAAATCTATGAATACATACTTCTTTGACGGAAATCCAATCCCCCGGAGTACTAGCCAAAAAGACCTCGGTTTAGTAATATCTGAGACAATGAACTGGCTTCCACACATTAAGCAAGCTGCGAATAAAGCCAACTCTGTACTTTACCTGATTAAACGAAACTCCGCAAGACTTCAAACCGTTACAAAATTGAACCTTTACAAAAGCATGGTTTTACCTATACTTATCTATGGTTCACCTGCGTTTTCTTTAAACAGAGGTGGAATGCGTTTATTTGAAAGCGTACAGAAACGTTTTTGCAAATGGGCTCTAGGTCACGAAGTTTCATACAAAGATTGCTTAATAAAGCTCAATATTTTACCTATTCCTTACTACCTACAGTTGGTCGATCTACTAACTTTAGCTAAGATTTTGAACGGAACATACAATTTTGACTGCGCCTCCAAATTTTTGAACACTTCCCCGTTATATTTCACCCGATCTGCTGGTGCTTCTCTGTTTCAGTGCGCGCGCCCGATGAAGGAAGTGGCAGAACAGAATTTTTGGTTCAGAGCAAGACGGCTGGCTAACCTATGTCCCATCAAGTTGAACGAATTTGGACTGAAGAACAAGCTCCCGACATGGATGTGGATTGTCTTTGTGAAAAGTTTCTCTGAAAGCAACTTATGCAGCTGGAAGACTTATTGCGACTGTACAACCTGTAGACTTCTCGTAAACACCTGATCAACTGTCTCTGAACGGGGGCAACCCCTTGCGTTTATACGCTAAATTCCTTATAATAATAATTATAATCATTCATTTTTTCGAAAAGAAAGAAATGACTTTCTTTCAGGCCTAATGTAATCATGTAAAACGAAATTACTACACTCGCGTTTCATCAATTCACCCAGTCAAAAATCCTTGATAACCATACATCAGGGATCAGAGGAGAAAAAACTGACATTAATGAAAGAGGCGTTCACTCACGTGACATTTTTTAAGGTAATCAGAAGGTCAAAAGTATCATAGTAACCGAGGTTACAGTCAGGAGTACCTTCATCACCTATTCCAGTCAAAATTCTTGCAATTATCTAGATATGGAAGTGATATGATAAAAGAAGACGACAAGTGTTCAAGTCCTTTATCGATACGGGTTACGTTTCTTCAATAAGAACACGCAACTCGACACGAGAAAATATAATAATAAGTGTTACAATGTAACATTCGCCCGGAAGATACATATCGACGGATAACAAAACTAAGTCTTAAGACGACTGGCTAGCGTCTAAACAGAGCTTTGCATGTTTTTCACCGTCTCTACCAAGCCAGTAATTTTCGGTGGTCTTTCTTACATCGGGTCGACAAAAACGTTACTGTTCTCCGGCTTCGACCAGAACGCTCAAATTAACTAGATTACATGCAGAAATAGTGAGCTCATGGCTGGGTCTCAGTATCCCCAGACCACGAGGTCACTCCTAAAAGCAGGGCTACTACTTATTATATGGCTATTGTTTTTGTTCAGTAGATAAAAATCATCATCTCCATCGAAGATGGATCAACCCTTTCCCCCAACTCCTAGCTTCTCATCCT